ATATATATAGCTTTTCTGTAGATGGCATTAGCGACAAGTAGACGTCAAATACATATAAATAAGACAGCTTGGAATACTCTTTCACATTTTGTGAAGATAACTYGGTAGTATCAGTTGTTTATTTGTGGTTAMACCGTATAGTTATTTCAAATTAGAAATGTCAGTTAATAAGCCAACAATGCGTCATTTGCGGRASGYGTTACTTTACTATTTTAATAGTAATTCATACCCTGCTGAGGCTCATCGAATGCTCRTACACGCTTATRGCGAGGATATTATATGTWAAAGTACTTGTAAAGAAAAYTTTAGACGCTWCAGGAGCGGTGATTTTAACTTAAACAGACCTACTATTAAACGACTAAATAAAGAACGGGTAATTGAAGACTTAGTGCGTTTAAGGTTAGAAAACCMGCTTATTACTCARRCACAGATGGCAGCAAAAGTTAGAATAAGTCGAYAAACAGTTATAAAAATCTTATGCAGTCAGGAATTTAAAATCAATTTTAAAGAAACAGAGSAGGACCAAAGTTCTATACCTCCTGGTAATATATGTATATATATACATAGGATATTATATTCTYAAGTGCATGTTGTRTGTGGTATAAACGCTTCAAGAAAGGTGATTTTATCTTAGAATTATATAATAAAATTATATAATTTACAAGAAGAACACTTGCCCCACTGAAGATTTGGATGGTGGAGCTGAACTCCAGACGGTGCACACGGAATCGGCAGAATCTTCAGGCGGCGTTTCCAGTGCCACCCAACCAACATTGRATTCGAGAAGCTGCCAGACGGACAACATGCCTGGTAAGCRAGTTCAGTTTCACGTRGATGACGCAATCCTTCRGGAGTTTCGTTCGTCAAGAAGACCACGGGAATAATTCCTCTGGTTCTTCTTTTTAAGSGGGGTGGTGWCACGTCTAGTGACCTCTATTTTCGAATTTCATGGACYACATAAGGAAATTTGAAATTTTGTAACATTTGCCATAATTRAATATTACCAATTTGTTTAATTTTGCGTAAAAGTAATTTGTTAAGCTTTAGTTCGTATAATTTTGCGTGAAAATAGTTTCTATAAGTACTATGTTAATCCTTGTGAGATAAATTTATATATATATATATATCTCCTACTGTTTGTTTTTAGTATAAAAATTGATACTTTGTACGTACATTAGTTATTAAGTCAATTATAATCGATAACTTTGTCCACGTTCATGTACTTTGCTTTAGTTTCTTATTATATACTTAAATATTTTGTAATTATTCTTTTCTTTTCATTATTATAATTTTTGTTGTTGTGAAGATAATTCTGTATTTCCTATGAACGACCATCGATAAGTTGCATTTTGTAGAATGGGTAACGTAGAGCATTAAGAATCTATTGTCGTTCATAGAGGAATCTGCATTACCGACAGTGTCGGTCGGTAACTAGGTTAGTCGATAAGTAAATGTCGATAATACCGACATTGCGTTCTTCCAGTACTGACTTATCGGTCGACGTTATA